CGAATTAGGCTGCCCACTGAGATAGGAGCAGGAAATCGTTGTTTCAAAGGTTGTTAAGAAATGCGGTACTATGAATCCACCCACCTATCTACATCAAGGTTCGGCTTGGCACTATTGTGAATGGCTAATGTGAAATGGAGTGTTGATGTTTTTTAAGAGCTTTGGACTCTAGCTATGGTATTTGCTTCCTGTTTTGAAGTTTTTCTCCGATATGTACATGTGCAGGGATACTTGGCAGAGGTTTAGATTAGCTGTAGAAAACAGCAGGCTTCATTCACGGTGGATTATTCGTTGTATCTGCTACTTGCTGATTCCAGTTTCCCCACTTCAATATCGTGAGAGCTTGTTAGCTGCTGTATTAAGAACATTAAGTTCTACGGATGATGTTGTAAGGTTTTGAGTATATCTTATTTCTTATTTTCCATTTTCCAATAAATTTTTCAGGCATGTATTGAGGAAACATGCTGTGTAGCATTTTTTTTTAAACATCTTTTAGTGCGTTAGCATTTACTACCTTCGTGTTTAAGCTTGGGGTGTATGAGAGTTTATGAACACTGGTTTGAATATCGATCATGTATGTTTTTCAGTAGGACCCAATCTTCCAACTATTGAAATATGGTCCTCAAATTTGATATTTCGATCATTCATGATTGGCGGTGAAATTGGCCTTTTTTCTTTTTTTTCCCCCCTTCATATGGTGTATCCTTCTATTGGGTGGGGTGGAAGTGGGAATAAATGGGGTATGATGTATATGGACCAAAATTGTTCTTTTCTCCAGCTAAATAAGAGAGAATTCCACTTCAAAGGCGTGATAGTGGATGGTAAGATCCCAATCAGACATCCCAACTGCTGGAACCAAAACGTTCATGAACATTGTGCAACTTCTGCCACTTCCACCTCCACTTTACACTGTGTGTGCTTCTATCATGGTTATCACATGGTTTACTCTCCATCACCTCCCCTTATTCTACGGTACGCTATTAACCCGTGTCCCACATGATGTTTCCTCCAACACTTACAGTATCTATCTACCATAACGCTAGTTGAAAACCACATTACAGCTTCCACAAGCATGCATTTGATATTGCCAGTGTAGCCATAACCCCATAATTGCTTGTGAGGATTTAAGCCTTTGTGGTTCTGCCAACAAAATTACCTCGCTTCAACTACACCCTACAGTTTGACCTTGGTATTATTTTTTCTCAACATGCTGCAAAATATGTCTTGGATTTTCACTTTCCTTTTTAATTTTTTTATTTTTTTTATTTAATTATATAAAAAGTAAAAGGTTACTTGTTTCATTGTGTGCCCTTCCCATTGTATATAACATAGTGAAAAAAAATTGTCTGATTCTTTACATGCAACCACCGGTATATGGATTCCATGAGTATTTAAAATGTTTGCATCACTCCTTCAAAAGTTAGGACCTTTGGAAGGTGGTGCTTGTATGTGCCTTAGTGCTGTTTGGATCTAACGTTTCACTTTACCCTCTTCGCCCCTTGTATTAAATTTAATGAAAAGTAAAAACTGATGCACTTATTCTCAGCATGAAAATCTTTTGCCACATATATGATGGTTGTTTGGTGACAGGAAACTCTGTTGTGCCACTGTAAAGTCTCGTTTTATAAATGGGGAAGGCATGGTGGTGAGGCTATTTGTGGAGGCAGTTCAATTGATTGCAGAGCATGTGAAAGTTTATGATTGCCAATTACATACCTGATTCCATTGAGGTATCTAATTTCCCAGTTGGTTGCCTGTGTATGGTGTTCCTATCACTCTATCCATAATTTTTAATTATAAACTTTTTCATCATTCTATTTTGACATAACTATTAAAAGTTGTAATTGAGTATAAATCATAAAGGTTAATCTAGTTTATTTCTGAACATTGTTGCGTGCTACTTTTTTGTTTTTTGAGAATACTCTAGATGATATGAGCCCTTTATGTTTTGTCCAATCTTATGTTTATCATCATCTCTTTCATTGTTTGAAGACTTTGTTCCTTCGTATTTTCGTTTTATTTTCTTATTGCATATTTGTTGTGGTGCATGTGCTTGTCTCTTATAAGTTTTGTTCTTTGCATCTATTTTGGTCTCTCTTTGCACCAGCCTGTTCTGCTAGAAGCACAGGTACGCGGTACGAGTACGGTACGGGTACGATGTGCGGGTTACGTCGATACGTCAAAATTTTAAAAAAGTATGATACGGGTACGCTGCGTACGCCAATAAATATATATATTTTTATTATATATGATTAAAAATTATAATTTATAAAATTATTATATATATTATATATGATCAATTATAATTATATATTATACATGATTAATTACATTATATATAAAAATTTATTATATTATTATATATTATATTTATCACTAATTATTATTATATATCTTATATTATAATATTATATCTTATATTATATATCTTTATATTATTTATATTATGATATATAATTATATTATATATTATATTCTTATTATATATATTATATTATTATATTTATAGTATATGTATCATATGTCTTATACTATATTTGAGAGGAGGCGAGAGAGCAGAGGCGAAAGAGGAGCAGAAATCATCGAGAGGCGAAGAGGAGCAGAGGCGATCGAGAGACGAAGAGAGAGAACAGAGAATAGAGGCGATCGAGAGACGGAGAGAGAGAGAAAAGGAGAGAGACGAAGACGATCGATCAACAGTGAGCAGAAGATCGGTCAAAGAGAGAGACGATACGATCGATCGATCGATTGAAGAGAAAACCCTAGAATCCTTCACTGCCCTAGCACACAAAGGCGACGCCTCTCTTACACTATCAGGTTCGATTCTCTTCATCTCCTCTGTCTCTCTCTGATTCCCTCTATAGATGTGTTTATGTATGTTTATGGTATGTATACATGTATACATGTAGTTTTTGTATGTATTTTTTGCCCCCTCCGCACCCATGGCGTACCCCCTCCGCACCCATGCCGTACCCATATTGTACCAGATCGTACCAGACCCCTTTTGGCCGTACCCGGTACGCGTGCAGCCGTACCGGTACGCGTACCCGTACCGGGTACGCGTACCCGTACCGGTACGCGTACCCGTACCAGGTACGTACCGGTACTTGTACGGCAACATTTTAGGAGTACCGGTGCTTCATAGCTGTTCTGCAATGGTTGTACATAGAAAGCCCTCACATGTGACTGTAGATAAAAACACCCTAGCACCAGCCTGTTCTGCAATGGTTGTACACTAGAAAGCCCTCACATGTGACTGTAGATAAAACACCCTATATGCCTACGCCTGCAGAATAGAAGTGTGTGGGTATTTTTTTTTTTTTTTTGGTTCATTATTGGAATGGATTTTTGTATTGTCAATATCAACCTACTTGAGTACAGCACTAAAAAGAATGGTGCTATGACCAAATACAGAAATGGGACAATTACAGTGTCATTGCCATTCACTGTTTTATGTCATGTATTCATAAAAAGTATACATTTCTTCCGTCGGACACTGTCTATGGTAAGCCGATTGATCTTTTTTTTTTTTGTTCACGCTCAACTTTGCAGAATCAGATGTCTTGTTCAAGGGAATATTTGTTCTTTGTACTTCACTTTTTTTCCCGATTGTGTTTTGTGGTGCTGTGCATTGTTTGGCTTTTTGTGGTTGGGGGATGAGTGTCTTACATTTTAGAGAAAATGTTAAATATGAGCACAAGACGTAGATGAGTGGTTGTATGTTCTTGAAAAGCTGACTGTTATGGCGTATCCCTGGAGAATGCCTTGGCCCTTGTTTCTTTGCTATTGGCACGAAATTGACTCATTTTTAGCGAGGCAATTGTCTTGGGGTCTAATAATTTGGTTCAATATTATATATACTACAGCCTGGAAACTTGTTATTTTGATTGGAAATTTATCCATCACACAGTTTGTGGATAAAAGAAGCATTGCCAAATTTATGTTGTGGCAACACACAATGTATATTTTTATGTTGAATAATTAAATATGGTTGTTTACTAGTTGAAAAAGAGCATTCATAGGTCAGCAAAGAGAAAACCTCGGCTGAGGAATTAATGCATGGGTCATGCTAACAAGTGCCCCAGAGGCACTTGATTAGGAGATGAATCCTGTGTGTTTGTTTCTAATAAGAAAACATTGTGTCGACATATTTGATAGAAATGTTTGTTTGTGTCTAGAGTGGTGTTGGACAACATATTTACAAAAGTATTCTTTGGAGCAGCATTTGATGTAGATTAATTTATTGGGAGGGAAGAGGTATGTGCCCATGGGCTGATGTGAGGAATAGTGGAGCAATATCTTACTCCATGAAGTATTTTGTGTGATGAAAGAGACTTGGCCGTTTAATTTATTTGATTATTCACATACTGTATTCACTTCTCTCTTTTTCTATGCTTTCTCAGGTTTTCAATGTCTTGTCGTTTGATGAGGATATTGGGAGGACTGAAATGTCAAAGGCAGATAATAAATTCAAAAACAAGAAAGAATAAAAGAGAAAGAATTCTGAGGAGCTAAGTCAGAGAAATGACAAAAAGAAAAGTCGGAAAGAGTTGATGTCAAAGATCAAGAGATGAGGTATTGATCCCTGAGACACAGTATTGATTTCTTATTTTTGGTGAATGGTATTGGTTTTCTTGATGTCGCTTACTCTCCATTTTCTTGGGAGATATGGAGAAAATACTCTCTATTCTTTCCTTCTGTGGCATAAAGGAAAACAAAAATTTTTTTCAAGTGGCACAAGGGGGTGCAACCTGTATAACAAAAGAAAACTTATCCAACATACATCAACAACCTATTCAAAGGCCAGAAATTGGTTAGTCACTCCCCAAATATATAATTATAAAAAAGGTCTACCCTTCAATTTAAATGAAGGCTCTCTTTCTTTACAATTGAAATTATTTACTTTCCCCCCAATCAATTAACGTAAAGCCATGGGGACTAAACACCAAAGCCTTTCCTCTTCCTTCTTATGCACTCTAACTACTCTCTAAGAACAAAACAATGCCCCTATTGGCCTAGGAACACCATGGCACACCGACCTCACAGTTTCCTAAGTGAGTAGCTTACCGGTTTCCCCTGTTCTTTCTTGCATGTGTACCAGTTAACATGCAATTGTTTCCTTTTAATCAAATTATCAATTGAGGATTGTTAAAATTGATGTATTATTGATTGATGTTATTGATATATTACAATGATTCCTATATATAGAAAGAGGATGTGGGAAGAGAATAGGTGAGTGTGTAGTAGGTATGGAGTAGGTGAGGAGTAGGTGGAGAGTAGGTGAAGTAGGTGAGTGTGTAGTAGGTGGTAGTGAGTGGTAGCCGGTAGGTGTGTAGTAGGTGCATTTTAACAGCCCCCCGCAAACTCAAGGGGGATAGGAACTAACCAACTTGAGTTTGGAGAGAGTAACAAAAACAAGAAAATAATCTGAAAAATAAAAAATGGATAGGAGACACTGTATGGTCGTGTCAGACCATTGGTGAAGACACTGGATGGTGGTGTCATAACGTTTGTAGAGGAACTGTATGTGGGTGTCATAACGTTGTAGAGGACACTGTATGGGGGTGTCATAACGTTGTAGAGGACACTGTATGGGGGTGTCATAACGTTGTAGAGGACACTGATATGGCGGTGTCAGACCGATGTAGAAGACAGTTTATGGGGTCATGTCGGACCGTTGTAGCAGACAATGTGGTGACAGTTGTTGTGACAGTTTACGGAGTCTTGCTGGACCCTTGTAGAAACTAACCGGAATCAATGTCGAGACAGTTTACAGAGTCTTGTCGGACCCTTAAAAGTCGCACCCTCAAAAGGTGTTGGGACAGTTGTTGTGACAGTTTACGGAGTCTTGCTGGACCCTTGTAGAAACTAACCGGAATCAATGTCGGGACAGTTTACAGAGTCTTGTCGGACCCTTGAAGGAGCTAACCGGAATCAATGTCGGGACAGTTTATAGAGTCTTGTCGGACCCTTAAAAAGTCGCCCCTCAAAAGGTGTGCCCATATCTGTCAAAAAAGGCGTGCCATCAAAAGGCGTGCCCAATCCATAAAAAAGGCGTGCCAGATATGATGGCGAGGCACGTGAGTGCCTTGGCTGGCGCGCCCGTTTGTCGTCTGGCGTCAAGTGGTGCGCTATACGCGTGGCTTGCCTCGGCTATTTAACCAAGACGGAGGCTGAGGCTGAGGCAGAAGCTGAGACAGAAAAACTGAGAGAAACCTCTGAAAAATTCTTCGTTTTGCTGAGAAAGATACTCTGTAACACTCTGTTGCCCAGAAAAAATGGCTTCGTCTTCCCGCGGTCTGCTCACTCTCTTTCCCGACCTTAACGAGTCAAACAAAGAGAGATAACTGGTGCGGTGGCACTGGAACCTCAACCAAGCGCCCCGGAGTTTGCTCCGTTGAAACTTTCCTATGCGGTCTGTGGAGCAAAGAATGGCAGTGCAGTCGGATGTGGAGGCCAATCAGTATACATTGAAGTCATGTGTGGAAACCATGACTGCGGTTACAAATTTGTCGAACCGGCTGCAGAGTAGGACAAATGAGGTGCAGCAGTTAACGCCCAACTGGCTCTGCTCCAACGCATGTATAAGGATGCGCGAGCAGATTAAGTGTGCTAAAGGCGGAAAATAAGGAGCTGAAGCGGAAGGCCACCGTTATGTTCCGATTTGGAGGGCCGCTATATGCTGCAGTGGAGGAGCAGGTGGAGTGAACGTGCTCGGTGGCGTGGGAAACACGAAAAAAACACCGGCAAGGGCCGCTCAGGACGGAGGCAAAAAGAAGAGACCGGTCGGCAGAGTAGAGAAAGAAAAAAAATCCCGCCTGTGGATGTGGTTGTTTTGGTTTTGTTTGATTGCTTTTTTTTTTTTTTTTTGTGTAAAATTGTGATCGGGTTGATCCCCGGCATGAAGAAATGACAAGTTTGTGGAATGTTGGTGGTGTTGTTATTTTTTTAAGAATAAAAATAAAAGAAAATAAAACAATGGATAAAAGAAATAGATAAAAATATTTGTGGATGGGTCATATGAAAAACATCGGTGTGATTTTTTTTTTTTTTTTTTTGGTGGAATATAAAAAAGAATAATAAGATAATGAAAAAAAGGGTGATGCTCTCACTAACGAGTTGTATAATAATGAAATATTGATGGAGAAATATATTATAATAAAAAAATATATATATATATAATAGATATAAAATAAAGAAAGTTTGGGTAGTGGAGACATAATGATGATGGCTAAAATAAAATAAAATAAAATAAAAAACGATGATGGGATTTCAGAGAAAGAGAATGTAGGTTGGGGGTAGTGCACCTGCAAAAGATATATGGTTGGAGGATGTGGGTCACATGGGTGAGTGGTGGTAAAGGAAGTAAAAGAAAAATAAAGAAATAGAGAAGAAAAGTAAAATGGGGTTGTGTGTTGTCGAGAGAGAGAAGAGAGAGATGGGTTTGTGCAGTGAATTCAGCTCAAGAAAAGCATGTCCAGATCTAGATAAACCACACAGCAATGGAAGATGCAATGACAAGGATCATCGGAAATGGTTCTCCATGAAAATCCAATAAAAATGCCCCGAAATTCCATAGGCAGCCATGATTTTCGGTCCACAACAACCTGAAATGAAACTAAGAAGACGGGGCTTATTCTTGTTCTTGAGGAGGAGGAGGTTGTTGTTCCAATGGGGGAACCAAATCCCGTGGACCCACTCACGGTGTAAGCGCAGATCGGAATCAGGAAAATCAATCTGCTCCCTGGAACTTCTGAAGAAAACGAGTATCTAGAATCTTGGAGAATGCAGTGACAATACCCTCCCACCAACCGTCGTTGTGGAAAGCATCGACCTCTTCGCTGAGCTTCGAAGACGAGGGTTTCAGAGGTTCCTGGTACACAGCCACTGTCCTCCGAACCGTCTCCAAGAAGAACAACAAGATCTTCGTGCAGAAACAAATTGCAGTCACCAACTTTATCCACTCCTTTCAGCTTGAGGACGGAGGAAAGAGCAGCGAGGAGAAAACAGAAGCTTGAAGAAAAATTCAACGCTAAGGACACACAAAAAGTGCAGCTGCAGACAAGATTAAAGGAGAAAGCAGGAACAGAACTTAGAAAATTGTGGCAAAGCTTCTGCTTCAAAGCCCGCGCACTACTTGATTTTTACAAGGAAAGAGAAACACCAAAAGATCAGATAAACAAAACTCCATCGACACATTGATGTGCATGGACCTGAAGTTCATCGTTGGCTGCTATGGCTGGAAAAATATAAGGTATATTTAGTGATGGGTGATAGAGATGACAGCGGAATAGGTTGAGGTCCGGCGGGCGGCCAAGGCGAGGTTGCCGCCCGCCGGTGAAGCGAGAATACTAAGGTCTTAACCTTGCTCTGATACCATGTTAAAATTGATGCATTATTGATTAATGTTATTGACATATTATAATGTTTCCTATATATAGAAGAGAGGATGTGGGAAGAGAATAGGTGAGTGTGTAGTAGGTATGGAGTAGGTGAGGAGTAGGTGGAGAGTAGGTGAAGTAGGTGAGTGTGTAGTAGGTGGTAGTGGTAGGTGTGTAGTAGGTGAATTTTAACAAGGATCTTACCAAAGGCACCTTAGAAGACGCATTTGTACCCCACACCCTTTTCAAGGGAAAGAAAAGGGCCTCTAAGACCCACAAGAGCCTCATAGAAAGATTTAACAGTGAAAATGCTAAAAGTGGATCTAGACCATTAGATAGTGTCTCTTCCATCCCCAAGATAGATAGAATATAAACGACCAAGAAGGTCCATCAACTTCTCAAACTCCCAATCATAAAGGTTCTTAACGCTTTGCACAGGTTAATGCTGACTTTAAGGCTGCTTCACTTACCCAAGATATTATGGAGCGGAGAAGGATGCAAACTGAGACACTTTCTGCTGTATTTCAAACATTCTTTCGCATCTTGAAGCATGCTATGCAGTCAATTGCAGCCAGGTATCTTTCTGCATCATCATTTACCACATTATCTTGGGTGCAACCATTGTTGTCTCCACTATGGTATGCGCTTACTACCGTAGGTGTTATAAATTTCTTTATTGAAAACATCGTTGAAAGCACATACAGTAGTGAAGGCAACACTAATTGCACCCAATTTCAATGCCTCAAAAAATACAGAATGAATACCACTGTTTTTTTAATATGCGCTACAATATGATGCAAAATTAAGTTGAATGAAGATCAATTTTTTTATATGGTTCTCCCTTCTATTTTTCGTTGGATTCAATGTGGCTGCTGGGCAGATTCTGGATAATCTATAAAACAATTTTCAGATTTAGTTTCTATTCTTTTTGTTAATTTATTTATATTCTTTCCGCTAATTCCCCCCCCCCTGCCCGCACGCCCCCCCTTTTTCTCAGGTCTGAAGGGATTTCGAGCTCATCAGCTGGTGCATCTGGGGGTCACCCATTACTTGCTCCTTGTTTAAATGGAATTGGAAAGTTCTCTCATCTAATTGACTTGGACTTTATGGGTGATCTCATAAGTTATCTGAGAAAGCTTTCTGGAGGAGGCAGCAGCTCAGATGGTTCTTCAGAGAATTTTTTGAAACAGTTGACTGTATCTGAACGTCTGCGATGTTGCATTGTCGCTTTTAAAGTGATGAGAAACAATCTTGATGCCTTAAATGTTGATTTACAGGACTTCTTTGTTCAGCTTTACAGTATTATACTGGAGTACAGGCCAGGAAGGTTGGTACTACACATTCTAAAATCTGGTTCGATGAAGTCAATTGTGCAATTTTAGTTGCTGTCCGAACATTTTCTGCATTGAAATCTATGCATCAGTGGAGTGTGGTAAAATTTTTCTAATGCATGCTTTAGCTTCAAGGCCCTTGTGAGTTTAACTGCTTGAGGTGGTAGTGGTCCTTCTTGGGTTATATTTGAAGTTCTCTCTCTCTCTCTCTCTCTAGATATATATATTTATTTATTTAATAGCGAAAATTGTTGATTGGTTTTGACAATCCACAACTTCTTGCAAACATGGCATTTTAGAAGAGATTCTTCATCATATTACTCAATGCAATGTGCAAGGTGGTTATACTTCTTTCATGCGGTTGTGAATCAGGGATCAAGGTGAAGTATTAGCTGAAGCTCTGAAGATAATGTTGTGTGATGATAGACAAAATGACATGCAAAGGGCTGCTGCGTTTATAAAGCGTTTAGCCACATTCTCTTTATGCTTTGGATCTGCAGAGTCCATGGCTGGTATCTTTTTCTAATTTGTTATTTCATGCTTAACAATTTGATTACTCCCATATGGCTCTACGTCTTAACATTTGGTTCATCTTGTGGAACTCATGCAGCCTTGGTGACTGTAAAACATCTTCTTCAGAAAAATGTCAAGTGCCGGAACCTATTAGAAAATGATGCTGGAGGGGGGTCGGTTTCAGGTCCCATTGCGGTAAGCTTTCATTCTATTCCTGTTAAAATGGTAGAAGAATCACCGAGGCAATTTCATATGACTTGCACCTATTGGATGCAGGGATCGAAATTTCATTTTGGTAGGTTGTTTTGGTTAGTTGGAAACAGAAATGTTTCGGAAACATTTCGTAAACATAAGGGAAACGAGATGACAATATGAAAATGTATTAAAATCTTTGGGAACAAAACTAAAACCTATATAAATGTTAATAATTCTAAATATTTAAATGGTTGAACATGTTGAAGTCTATAAATATTAGAAGCTCATAACCAAATGGTTTAAAAGCTCAGTTGGGGAAGAGATTTGCAGTTTATAAGAGAAAAACATTTAAAAAATGCAAAATTCTTGTAGTAGTAGAAACGAAGAAAAGTCACTTAATCATGCCGCTTTTTGTTTTATTTGTTCATATGTATCTCTCCTCTTCTCTCATATATAGTTTCTCAGATTCTCTAATAAATGTTGTACTTTTTTATATTATCACATCTTTTTTCCTTTTGACCAATAAAGTAATTGGAAATGAGCATTGTTAAATATTAATGACTCATTATTTTGACATGTTTTCAGTGTTTCCTTATGTTTCTGTGGGAACTTTGAAATTTGGTATTCCACTAATATTTCGTTTGAGTGGATGGGATATCCATAACCTGTTCTATTCTTGTTATGTAGTTAACCTTCCATTGAAGTGGTGGGATGTTCATTTGAATTTCCTGTCCTTTTACTAATGACTAATTTAATTACTTGCAGAAGTATCAACCTTATGCCTCAGACCCAAATCTTAGTGGTGCCCTAGCTTCAGTTCTTTGGGAACTCAACCTTCTGTCTAAGCATTATCATCCAACTGTTTCAACACTAGCGTCAACCATTTCAACGTTGAGCACTGCTCAGAACCAGGTTTATCATTCCAATGTGTCACCTCAACAAGCTTTCATGGAGTTATCGCTCGAACATGAGCCGTTCGATCTGAAGGTTGACATAGAGAAACCAAATCATAAAAGGAGAAGAGGAAGCGGGTCTTCTGTGGCTAATAGTAGCGGAACGAATCCTGGTATAACAGATTGGACTGATGAAGATACGGTGAGGAAGAGACTTTCTGAGCATTTCTCACTTATTCATGATATAAGTGAAAATAAGAGATTGAGGGGTGAGTTGGATCGTACAACGTGGTCATTGCAATTATATGAACAGTATAAGAAGCAAAAGAAAACAAAACAAAATGGCTCAAAACCATTGAAAATGAAATAGATCTAGCTTATTTGTTCCAAAGTGAAATTTTGATGTGTTAATTTTTCTTTTTTCTTTTTTCTTTTTATTTCCCTCCCCCTATAAAGGGTATAGTTCTGTTACTGGAACTTTAGTGTTCATTTGTTCCAAGGATTTTGTGGTCTTCAATGGGACTTCTTTATAGTATTTGAATTGTTGAAGAAGCCATTGAACCCTTGAAAATTCATTCCTTTCATTTGATAACTACTATGTGATAGGGAGAGGGAGGGAGGGAGGTATGCAGTCTTGGTGGCAATGGTGAAGCCAGACAATTAATCACAATCTCAAATTTTTTATTTTTTTGTATTTAGTATCAATCTTTTTGAGTTAATATTGAACATAAAAACTTCAGTATTCATTACCAGAGTTTCTAATGTAAATTTTTACAATTGATCCCAACAATTTCTAATCTTTAAATTAAAAACAAAAAACCAAAATTCCCTATTCAAAACTCTAAATTTAAACACAAACTAATGCAAAACCAAATCCTGATTTGAGCATAAATTAAACAAATACAGTAGAGTTCATCAGTTATTATTGCTAAATAAGTAGAAGATCTTAATAACAACAGGTGACAATGTGATCGTAGGAATGATTGAGTCATGTGCTATCATTCATTATATAATATCACATATTTCCATGTTTTTTTCTTCATACAGCTAGCTTTTTTCGGGATCTTTTTGTTATTTTTCTCTTTAAAAACAAAATGAGACTGACAACATAGCCAAAATACCTTGGCTTCTTCAAAAATAATTATTAAAATAATATATTCTTATTTTCTGTTAACGATAAAGATAATGAAAAGAAGAGGTTACATTTGCATGGAGCACAAATTAAGGACATTAATTTTATTTTATTAACCTCATAAAACCCAATCATAAACCCGCGTTCCTATTGTATGCTAGCTATGTATTTTAAGTATATTCTATGATTTATTTATTAATTGAGTTATTGGATCTAGATTCTCCTTTCATTACAAGGAAGGAATGGAGATTTTCAATTTCATAGTCAATGATGACAATAGAATCATACCAAGAAATCAGTAGTTTAAAAAACAAACAACAAATCATTAAAATGATTTTTAAAATTCATAATGATGTGATAATTTATAAGATATTAATTTTAAATTTTGATAAATTGTTGAAGCTTTATATTGAAATCGAAATAGACATTTCTTGCCAGAATAGAGATAATATATATACATATAATATATGTATGGGCTTATCAAGAGCTGTAAACAGCTTATTTTCACATGGTTGGCAGAAGATTTTTCAACAAGGGAAACTGAGAGAATCAAAATCAAAGTGGAGAGGTAAGCGCATAAAGGAAACTAAAATATTGAATAGGCCAAATTCAACTATTATATGTATATATAGCGACATTCATGATGCCCCTACCTTCTCTTTATGTACTTATTAATGAAATGAAATTAAGACATTGTTTGGTTTCTTGCCCCAGAATAGAGATAATATATATACATATAATATATGTATGGGCTTATCAAGAGCTGTAAACAGCTTATTTTCACATGGTTGGCAGAAGATTTTTCAACAAGGGAAACTGAGAGAATCAAAATCAAAGTGGAGAGGTAAGCGCATAAAGGAAACTAAAATATTGAATAGGCCAAATTCAACTATTATATGTATATATAGCGACATTCATGAAGCCCCTACCTTCTCTTTATGCACTTATTAATGAAATGAAACTAAGACATTGTTTGGTTTAGTGGAATAAAGATAAAATAAATGATTATTTTATCAGAATATTGATTCTCTCATTTACTTCACTAAAAAAATGATGAAAAATGTAAAATTATCATTTACTATTATTAAAAAAATGATCATCATGTTATGAGGAGATTAATGAAGAACTATTATATTTCTTTCCTTATTCTAATAAACCAAATACCCTTTAAGAATCGTCATTCATGATGTGAGATTATTTCAACAATTGATGAGTCTTGTGCATGTCTTCGTTTACTAGTTCCTTCAACTTATTACTAGTGACAGTGACAAAGGAAAATTGAAGAAATAACATATACAAAATTTTGAAAAAGTTGATTGAAATTCAATGTAGTTGGTAACAACAAAACAAGAATTGTCATGGTATTGAGTAACAAGCTAACATTTATTTTAAAAAATAAAATAAAATTTAGAGTAACAAGCTAACACCGAACAACATTAATTTATTATTATGACAGAAAGGACATTGAGCATATTGGGATAATATCAAATTCTTATTATTTTAGTTTTAGAGGATGATGTCACTATAATATATAAGGGTTTTAGAGATTAAATTTTTTGATCTTTAAAAGTAAAATTTTTGCTACAAAAGATATTTAAGAACTAATTTCTATCGTCGTAAAGATAGTCGTTAAAAGGTCGTCTCGAAAAGTCAAAAATAAGATTTTTAGTGACAATTTTGAAAATGTCACTAATAAATATACAAAATAATTTGGTCTCAAAATGATTTGTTTTTTGAGATAAAAAATTTGGTCCCAAAAAAATAATAATTTATTACTAATGTCCAATTTTCGTTGTTAAAAATATAATAATGACACTTTCGCAACAAAAATATTTGGTTCTTAAAAAATAATTTTGTTCCAAAATTTTAGTCTCTAAAACCTTAACCTTAATTTTTTGAGTTTGGCAGTCGATTGTTGAGAGAAAGAGGAAAATGAAGTTTGAATCTTATGCATTGTTGTTTGGTATGTGAGAAAAAGGAAGGAAAAGGAAATTGAAAGTTTTAACTTTCTTCACCGTTTCATTGTGTATAAAACATATAATTAAAAATAAATAAATAAATAGAACTTTTGAATGGAAAGTATGGAAAAATTTGTTAATGAAAGATATTTTTGATTAAATAAGCTATTGTGTAGTACTCATGGGAGTAAATAAGCTACTGTGTAGTATAATTTTTATGAGTATTGAAAAATGCATTTGTAATTATATAGATAAGACAAAAGATATTTTTGTAACTTTTTATCAATTTTTATTGTAGTTTTTTACTTATTTTTTTTTCACATTTTAAAATGCAAAATTAGTAATTAAATTTCTATATTGAAGTTTTGCTAAAATTTTATTCATAAGTAGTATAATTTATATTTTTTTATAATTTATTTATTTTTATTTTTTTGTTTTTGGTGTGGTATACATTAGTTGTTAGTACAATAAATGGGTAATACAATCCATACAAATTTAACTGTTGTCAATACAAAATTACTATATAGAATTAACTGCAAAATCATGTATTGCAATAATTCTACATTTTGGCCAATAGAGAAAAATGATAAAGATTTCTATGATAGTATTCAAATTTTCTTCTATCCTTTTTAATGTATATTGAAGACAAAAAAAAAAAAAATATAATTTGCCTTCAATCCTGTAGTAGTTCAATTTCTCCATCTGTGATATTCATGCACATACGAACTTCTTAAAGTAGGTTGTTAACTAAAATATGTTATAAGGTTGTTCATTCTATGTTAATTAATTTTTCTTTATGGCAATTACTAAATCTCATTCTGCTTTCTTATAGTTATATTTCATGTCAACAATCATTTTTATTTCATCTTAATCAAATGGGTTGAGGTTTTCATTAATCATCAATGGTCATATTCTTATTCATCAAACATAAAAATAGATTTGTATACATTTTTAGTGTTGAGGAGTGCTCTTACTAATTGTGTTTTTTTTTTTTATCCTTTTGTCTCATATTTCTTTAGTTTTGATTCTCAAGCAAATACTTAGGTTGGGAGGTCTTTCCCTTGCAATTCTTTATTAGTTCCCTACTTTCTTTCTTGAATTGTAGTGGGTTAATTAATGAACTCTCTCAGATTTCTTTAATGCTTTGGAATTTTCATGTTTGGCCTTGGAATTTTCAATAATTATATTAAACATTAAGCTTTTAATGTTTGGTTTAAAAAAAAATCTAATATAATGTATATAGTTATGTATCTTGGTATATAGCTGTTCAATTTCTAGAGAATACTTATGTGTCTTTTTTTTATTTATTTAAATAATAGGAATGTATGATAAATTATGTGAATACTTACTTCTTTTTTTTTTTTTAATAATGATATACAAGCTCATTTTTCATACCCACTTTATTTTTTTTGGATTCTCTCTCTCTCTCTCTCTAGAGGAAAATGAAGTTTGAATCTTATGCATTGTTGTTTGGTATCTAAGAAAAGGAAGGAAAAGGAAATTGAAAGTTTTAACTTTCTTCATTGTTTCACTGCTTCTAAAACATATAATTAAAAGTAAATAAATATAACTTTTGAATGGACAATATGGAAAAATGGGTGAAGGAAATATATTTGTGATTAAATAAGCTACTGTGTCGTGTAACTCATTGGAGTAAATAAGCTACTGTGTAGTATAATTTTTATGAGAGTATTGAAAAAAGCATTTGTAATTGTATAGATAAGGCAAAAGATATTTGTACTTATCCAGTTACAGTGTGGTGAGACTTTTTATAAATTTTTATTGTAGTCTTTTACTCTTCTTTTTTTTTTTTCACATTTTAAAATGCAAAATTAGTAATTAAATTTCTATATTGAAGTTTTGTTTAAATTTTATTTTCCCTTAGTAGTATAATTTATATTTTTTTATAATTTATTTATTTACTTTTTTTTGTGGTATATATTAGTTGTTAGTACGAAAAGTGGGCAATACAATTCATAAGAATTTAACTCTTGTCAATGCAAAATTACTATATAGAATCAACCACAAAATCATTTATTGCGATAGTTCTATATTTTAGCCAATAGAGAAAAATGATGAAGATTTCTATGACAATATTTAATTTTTCTAAGATCCTTTCTAATGTATATTAAAGACATTAAAAAATTATAATTTATCTTCTATCCTGTAGTAGTTCAATTTTCCCATATGTGATATTCATGCATTGATGAACTTAAAATAGGTTGTTAACTAAAATATGCTATGAGGTTGTTAATTCTGTGTTGATTAATTTTTCTTTATGGCAATTATTAAACCTCATTATGCCTTCTTACAATTATATTTCGTGTCAACAATCATTTTTATTTCATCTTAATCAAATGGGTTGAGGTTTTCATTAATCATTAATGGTCATATTCTTATTCGTCAAATATGAAAATATATTCATGTACATTTTTAGTGTTGAGGAGTGCTCTTACTAATTGCGTTTTTCTTTTTATTCTTCTGTCTTAGATTCCTTTAATTTTGATTCTCAAGCAGATACTCAGGTTAGGAAGTCTCTCCATTGCAATTCTTTATTAGTTCCTTCATTTCTTTTTCGAATTGCAGTGGGTTAATGAATGTTCTGGATTAATGAATGAACTCTCTTAGATTTCTTTAATGCCCTGGAATTTTCATGTTTGGTCTTCGAATTTTCAATAATTAGATTACACATTAAGCTTTTAATGTTTGGTTTAGAAAGAAGTCTAATATAAGTGTGTATAGTTATGTATCTTGGTATATAGCTGTTCAATTTCTAGAGAATACTTTTTTTTTTGGGAATGTATGATGAATTATGTGAATACTTATGTCTTTTTTTTTTAATAATAATATACAAGTTCATTTTTTATACCCATTTTATAGACCCAGTGATGTGTTAAGAAGATGATTGGTTGATAATTAGATAATATTTAATTATCAACCAGTCCTCTTTTTAACATATCACTGGACCTATAAAATAAGTCTAACTTCTGGGCCTGAATAATTATTCTTTTTTTTTAAAAAAAATTTTACAAAGATTTTGTTACAGTTTAATTTTGTAATATGATAGGTCTTTTTTTTTTTTTTTTTTTTTTTTTCTTAGGCTGTATTTGGATTTAGGATTTGAAGGGAATTTGTTGATTGAAAGGAAAAGGGAACATTAAAAAGTTAACCCTTTTTATTTGATAACCTTTTTTTTTTTTTTGCTTTTAGTGAATTGTTTTTAATTTGGTTTTTTATTGAACTGCTATTTTAAAATGTTTAGGCTTCTCTCTCTTTAAAAAGAGTCCAGTTTATTTAGCTTTTTCAATTTTATTTTTGGAATTTTTCAAACAAAAAAATGACTTTTTAGATGTTTATCAGACTTTTGAAAAAACTTAAACTTATTTTAAAATTTTGTTTTAATAATTTTTATGAAAGTATTACTCCTTGAAGTAAATAAGCTACTGTGTAGTATACTTTTTTGAAAAGGCATTTGCAATTATACAAATAATACAAAAGGTATTTGTAATTTTTCAGTTACAGTGTGGTGAGCCCTTTTATAAATTTTTATTGTAGTTTTTTACTTATTTTGTTTTCACATTTTAAAATACAAATTTAGTAATTAAATTTCTGTAATTAAGTCTTACTAAAATTTTATTCATTATTATAATATATATTTTTTTATAATTTACTTAGTTGTTAGTAAGAAAAATGGGTAATACAATCCATAAGAATTAACCTTTGTCAGTGCAAAGTTACTATATAGAATCAACCACAAAATCATGTATTGCAATAGTTTTACATTTTGGCCAATAGAGAAAAATTATGAAGATTTCTATGAGAGTATTTAATTTTTCTTCCATCCTTTTTAATGTATATTGAAGACATAAAAAAATTATAATTTTTCTTCTATCTTGTAGTAGGTCAATTTCTCTATCTGTGATATTCATGCACAAACGAACTTCTTAAACTAGGTTGTTAACTAAAATATGTTAGGAGGTTGTTAATTTTGTAGTGATTAATTTTTCTTTATGACAATTATTAAACCTCATTTTGCCTTCATATAGTTATCTTTGTCAAATTTACATAACCAAGCACTTTCAGGTTGAGACACCATTGACCTTCAACCGCTAATTATGGACAACATTACTATTTTTGGTCAAGTAAGTTGTTTTCTTTTTTATTTATTTGAAAAAAAAAAACATTTTTCTTATAAGCAAAAGTCAATTTTCTTTTCTTTTCATAGTTTTTTTAATCTAATTCCTTATAACAAAATGCTCTTTTCTTATAATTTACAGATGGATGGAGACCTACGTCGAACTGTAATACTGGCTCCTTTTACTCATTTTCTTACATGTATAATTTTTTTATTTTTTTTTACCTCTAATTCTTTTGTATTTTTAGGTCCAATTTCTTCAAGAAAGAAATGTTAATGTTGTTATCCGTGATGAGTGTGACCCTAATGTCATCCGTATTCGAGAGGTAGGCCCAATTTAATGATATAGATTTTCTTTATTCAAAACACCGTATACACCGTTTATTCTTATTTATATATTTTTTAAAAACTTTCTACATATATATATTTTCTTTATTCTTTAAAAATTTTCTTTATTTTTTGTAGGCAAAAGAAAAGGAAATTGCCAAGGCATTGTTGAAGAAAAATGAAAAGACCACTGTTTCGGGCAAGGGAAAGGAAAATGCATGTTCAGTAGTATGGCTCTTCAACATTTCCATTTAAAGTTCTTTTTTGAAATATTTATTTTGGACCATGAACCTTGATTATTTATTTTTATTTTTTGAAATGTAAAATTGACATACTACTTGCACAGTGACATATACTGTTTTTATAGTAAACAGTTTCATATAAATTTGTGAAATGTTTTTTTTTAAGCATGCTAAAATAACATTTGTACAAAAACATTATATTTGTTTTAAATTATTATTATTCTTTTTTGGCTTTTTGCTATTGACATTAACATCTACAAGAGAAGAAAAAAGGAATAGAACAAAAAAGGAATGAGGGGAGGAGGGATACAGAATGAAAAAGTTCTCAATTTTTTTTACAAAATATCAGAAGGAAAGGGAATTAAGATAAAGTAAATTAATGGAAATGAAAAATGAAGAGAAAAGTATAAAACAGTAGATGATAATATTCATATTTTAGGCATCTTATGAAATTAATCTTCATGTTTTAGGCACATAACAATAATATTATATCGAAAGCTGCATTGGCTCAACGTGCACGGTGAGAACGCGAAAGAAATGATAATGCAAGCTCTTCATATCAATTGGGACAACATTCGCGACGCGAACGAGAGAGATCGAGAGAATTGATTCCACCAAGCACAACTAACACTCCACCGACTCAGAAAGGAGTAATGTTTACAAATCTTACTTCGCCAAACACATCTTTAGCTTCACAAAGAAATTGGTAAAACATTGTATTTAATTCTACAAATACATATTCTTATTTTTAAGATTTTATTTTATAAATTTTATTTTGTACACAACAAATATTTGTAGGCCTACCCATGCAAGCCCATTCCTCTATGAGACTAGGAATATCGGTGTTGTTATTCGTGATGAGTGCAATCTTAATATTATCCGCAATTCTAAGGTAAGTATAAATATCAAGTTCAACATATTCTTTTTTCGTAATCTTAATAAATTCTATAAATACATGTTCTTTTTCGTATTCTGAATAAATTTTATTTAATTTTGGTAGGCAAAGGAAAAGGAAAAGGTCAAGGCAATGTCTAAAGGAAAAGAAAAGGCAACTTCATTTGACAAAGGAAAGGAAAATGCATGTCTAATGGTATATATTCAATATCTTTAAAAACATATTTATCAAGTAAAACAAAGCCAATCATATTGTTTAAGTGAACATTGATCATGTATATTTTTAAAAATGTAAACCGTGCTGTCAATTTTTTTTGTGTGTTCTTTGTTTTCTATACACTCAAACAAAGTATTTTTAGCTCTCTTTTACATTTCCTAAAAAATAATTGTAACATTTATCAACGCCAAGAAAATCTTTATAACATCTAAGCAAAGGAACAGAGGAACATAGGCATAGAAAATATTTTTAATTTTCTTAAAGTCATCATGATGCAAGAAGAAAGAGAAGACAATAATTAAAAAATAAATTGTTATATCACAAGGCGTGAAGAGGGAAAATGAAGCAAAATGGAAAAGGAAGTAGGACAAAGAAAATGTAAAAATATTCTTAAAATTATTACAAGGCATGAAGAAAAAGAAATAAAATAGTATACGATAATATTTGTATTTTAGGTATCAATGATATAATGTTCACATTTTAGGCACACAATAACAATTTTATATCAAAAGCTACATTGGCCCAACGTGCACGGCGAGAACGGGAAAAATCAAGAGAATATATTCAACCGAGACAAACTTCTTTAATACCGTGTCGTTGTAGTCGTACTTGCTTGGAACTAGGAACAGAGGCAGCTGAGGATACTCAATCGGCGCAAAAACGAACAATGGTTACACATCCTTCCACATGTTTGTCCTTAATGCCAAGCACATTTTTAGCTCCACAAAGGAATTGGTAAAAGACTGTGTTTAATTCTTCAAATACATACTCCTACTATTACCATTCTATTTTAATTTACACAGAACCAATATTTGTAGGCCTACTCTTACAACTTCTTCCCTTCAAGAGGATCTATGTACTAATGAGGAATTAGAGGATATGCCTATAAGTCCAATGGTTGGTATTTGAGCACATATAAATTCATGTCATCATTCTCTTGGCAAGATGGATGTATTATGTCCTTTCTGTTCAGCATTACATTGGATGGATGAAAAATTAGTAAAATCATCTCCAAACCGTCCTCTATTCGGAACATGTTGTTCAAAAGGGAAGGTTAAGCTTCCTCTACTTATTACACCCCCTTCACTTCTTCAAGCATTATATGATGGGAATGATGATAAATCAAAATCGTTTCGACGTTATACTCGAGTGTACAATGCAACCAATGCTTTTACAAGCCTTGGTGCTACATTAGATCCAAGAGTACTTACTGGAAGAGGCCCTACATCATTCACTATCCATGGGGAATTGCGACATCGAACAGGATCACTACTACCACAATCAAGGCAAGATGCAGCTTATGCGCAATTGTACATTTATGACCCTGATTCAGCTTTAGAAGTTCGCAATCGTAGAAATCCTCAATTAAGAAGAGATGTTCTAAAAACTATTCAAGATAGTTTATTACAGGTTAATGCATTCGTTGCTAAATTTCGCCATGCTCATGCAATTTTGAATCAATTAGCCTTGACAGGACGAAATTTGCCTGCTCATCTCCATTACAGTTCATCGACACGACGATGGTATAACCTACCAACTATAGATGAGATTGCAGTTGTAATACCAGGTGATGGAACCAAGGTCAGTGGAATGAGAGATGTTATCTTACATCTACATGGAAATAATGAGCTAATGCAAATCAATGAATGTCACCCAGCATATTTGCCATTACATTATGTTTTATTATTTCCACATGGTGAGCTTAGATGGGAACCTGAGATAAAACTGTGGGATGTTGAACGTGATCGGCCTTCAACTGATCGGCTTACTCAAATGGATTTTTATAATTATTGTTTGTTTGAACGACCCATAGAGTATTCAACAATTTTGAGAGCTGGAAAATTGTTCTAAGAGTTTATGGTTGATGCTTGGGCTGCAACTGAACAAAATAGGTTGACTTACTACAAGCTTAATCAAGGGAAGATCTGTGCTGAACTTTACCAAGATTTGACAGATATTGATCCAAATGACCTTCAACCCAATCAAATTGGTCAAAGGTTTGTTTTGCCACCTTCATTTCCTGGAGGTCCTAGACATATGCTTGAAATCTTTCAAGACTCAATGGCTATCACACGATACAACCAACATCCAGACATTTTTCTCACCATGACTGCAAATCCTAATTGGCCAGAAATTACTTCGGCATTATTACCGCACCAAAAGCCTATTGATCGTCCTGATTTAATTGCCCGTGTTTTTGAGTTAAAGAGAAAGTGCTTGATGAAGGAGATAGAAACAAACCGAGTGTTTGGTAATAAAGTTGAGCATGTTTTTACAATTTAATTCTAAAAATGAGGCCTTCCTCATATGCATGCACTTCTATTTCTTAAGGGTCCAGACAAAATTCGGACATGTGCTCAAGTAGACAAATTGGTTTGTGCAGAATTTCCAGATCCAAAAGATGAACCTATGCTTTTTGAAACTATCAAGTGTTGTATGGTACATGGACCATGTGGTGCTCGAAATCCACAAGCACCATGTATGGAAAATGGTAAATGCACTAAGAGATACCCTCGAGCGTTCGCAGAAACAACTACTATGGATCAAGATGGATATCCTATCTATCGTCGTCGCAATAATGGTCAAGCTCATATTGTGAGGGGGAAAGAAGTTGATAACAGAGACATCGTACCATACAATGCATATCTTTCTAAACGTTTCAACTGTCACATAAATGTGGAAGTTTGCGCCGGAATGAGATGCGTCAAGTATATACACAAATACATTTATAAGGGTTATGATTGTACAACGATGGTGTTGGGATTGATAAATGAGATCCAACAATATCTCGATGCGAGGTATATTGGACCTCTAGAAGCTGCTTGGCGAATATTTGGTTATCCATTGCATGCAGAGATACCAACAGTTGTACGCTTAGCACATCATTTACCTGGAATGCACCGCGTTCTTTTTAATCCTGATGAATCATTAGAAGCAATTGTTTCTAGAGCTGGCCAACAAATGTCAACTCTTACTGATTTTTTTACATGTTGCGCTTTTACGGAAGATGAATGTCCATTTACTTACTAAGAATTTTCACAACATTTTGTTTGGCTTAATTCAGAAAAGAGATAGAAACCAAGGCATCAAGGCTATGCAATCGGTAGAATGTACTTTGCTAGCCCTAATTGTGCTAAGAGATTTTATTTGCGTTTGCTATTAACTGTTGTCAAAGGACCAAAATCGTTTTAATGTTTACGCACGGTTAACAATGTTTTGCATGATACGTTTAAATCAGCATGTGTTGCAAGAGGACTTTTAGAAGATGATGAAGAATGGATATAATGCCTTAAAGAGGCTGTAGTTATGAAAACTGGTTATCAATTAAGGAGATTGTTTACTATTATTCTTACTCAGTGCTCTCCACTGCAACCATATGCGTTATGGAATCAATTTTCAATGCATATATGTGATGATCTTGCACATAAGATTCGAACATTGTTTGCCATTTTTCTGAACCAACTGAGGCTCAAATTGAAGACTATGGTCTATATCTTTTGAATTAAATGCTCCAAGAATCAAGAAAAAGTTTAATTGACTTCCCGCCAATGCCCCAACCTTCTACAAATTGGAGTGCAGTAGTTGGTAATAGGTTGATATTCGAACATCAACAACTGCATAATGAGGCACAACAGGCAGATGCAGAAATTATTATTGATCGCCTCAACAATGATCAACGAACAGCTTATGATGCAATTACTTCCTCAGTCTTTGAAAATAAAGGAACTATTTTCTTTTTGAATGGAGGTGTCGGAACAGGGAAAACATTTTTGTACAATGCGATTGCATTAAAGTGTCGCAGCCTTGGCCATATTGTTATTGCTGTAGCTTCATCTGGAATTGCATCATTGTTATTGGTAAGAGGTCGTACTGCTCATTCAACATTTTCCTTTATGCTGGATGTATTGGAAAATTCAATTTGTGGATTTAGCAAGCAATCATTATAAGTAGAATTGTTTAGAGAAACAAAACTTATAATCTGGGATGAAGTTCCTATGCAGCATAGACATTGTGTTGAGGCAGTTGATCGTACACTTCAGGACACTTGTGATAGTGTAAAGCCATTTGGGGGTATCACTGTTGTTCTTGGTGGAGATTTTCGACAAATCTTACCAGTTATAACCAAAGGAGTCCGTGAGTAAATTGTGAATGCATTATTAAGATACTCTTTTCTATGGAAAGATACACATGTTCTGTCTTTAAATTTGAACATGCGCTTGAATCATGTAAATCTTGGAAATGCTAATTTTGCAAAATTCTTGATGGAGGTAATATTTCTTCAAACTTTTTCTCTATTATATGGTTCTTTTAAATTGACGAAATACATTTACGTTTATGTACTTTAATTGATTTTACTTACTATTTTATTTATTTATTTTTATAAATAGATTGGGACCAATCCTCAGGAAATTGTTAAACTTCCATCAACAATACACAAATGCCAAGATCTAAAAGACATAATCTCAGTAGTTTATCCGCAACTGGATGTGGCAATGACATCAACTGCAACATTTTTAACTGAACGTACAATTCTTTCTGCACGGAATGATGATGTCAGTGCTATCAATACTGCAGCATTGAATATTTTTCTCGGCAACATACATACTTATTTGGCAGCAAACAAGATGTCTGAAGATGATGAAATTGATCATACTATAATAAATAGATATCCTAATGAATATTTAAATTCATTAGATCCTCTTGGACTACCGACTTTTAAGGTAGAGTTGAAAGTGAGTTGTCCTATAATGTTGTTAAGAAATGTTGCACCAAAAGATGGACTGTGCAATGGCACAAGATTGATGGTTTCTAGATGCAATACTCGCATAATTGAAGCTCAAATTTTAACTGGAGAAAAATGTGGCAATTTGGTATTCATACCAAGGATATCCTTGACACCGTCTTCTTCAAAAATGCCTTTCCAAATGACAAGACGTCAATTTCCAGTTCGATTGGCATATGCCCTGACCATTAATAAATCTCAAGGGCAATCTGTGAAATTTGTTGGAGTTGATTTGCGCACAGCAGTGTTTAGTCATGGGCAATTGTACGTGACCCTATCTAGATGCACATCCTTTGATCGTATAAGTGTCCTCCTTCCCAATGATGAGCCAGATTCTACTACAAACATTGTTTGTCCTGAAATTTTGTTATAGTGTTACTTATGGATCAAACCACTTTTGTCAAAAGGTACAATTTATTTATTGATAAATTTGTTTCTATTGATTACAAATTGTTATTTTTAAAATATTTTACTATATGTGTCGACTTTTGTAGGATTGGGTTAAAAAATATATAGAGCTCAAAAATATAAATACAACTAGATTGCTTCGATGGGGATGTAACAAGGTAATTTCAATTTGAAAGTGTTTTGATATATATATAAATTTTCTTTTGCTAATATACTAACTTTTTTTTATTTTCATAAATTAGTAGATTGTCGTGCATGCTCCTCACTGGGGATACATACAAGTTGATACGAGGACTTTTTGGAAAGTGATAAGGCGCTCCTAGGATTTCTAAAAAAGAACAAGTTTGAATCTCATATTTATTTTTGTGAAAAGCGTACATATGCTAGCTACGATCCATATTTTGTAAAGTTTCCGATCGATGTGAAATTTATAATTAAGTTTAGATGTATGTTAGATAATATTCATTTGAATTATTGATTTATGCTATGAGTTTGTTTTTGTAAATGTAACACACTAGGTGATATAGTCTTTTTTGTTTTTTTGTTTTTTCTTCCTAATATGATCTTGAATTAGGTTAAACAAAACTAATCATACTACAATACTCCAAACTCTTTTCAAAAATGCATTTGTGTCATCATACTACAATACTCCAAACTCTTTTCAAAAATGCATTTGTGTCATCATACTACAATACTCCAAACTCTTTTCAAAAATGCATTTGTGTCATCATACTACAATACTCCAAACTCTTTTCAAAAATGCATTTGTGTCATCATACTACAATACTCCAAACTCTTTTCAAAAATGCATTTGTGTCATCATACTACAATACTCCAAACTCTTTTCAAAAATGCATTTGTGTCATCATACTACAATACTCCAAACTCTTTTCAAAAATGCATTTGTGTCATCATACTACAATACTCCAAACTCTTTTCAAAAATGCATTTGTGTCATCATACTACAATACTCCAAACTCTTTTCAAAAATGCATTTGTGTCATCATACTACAATACTCCAAACTCTTTTCAAAAATGCATTTGTGTCATCATACTACAATACTCCAAACTCTTTTCAAAAATGCATTTGTGTCATCATACTACAATACTCCAAACTCTTTTCAAAAATGCATTTGTGTCATCATACTACAATACTCCAAACTCTTTTCAAAAATGCATTTGTGTCATCATACTACAATACTCCAAACTCTTTTCAAAAATGCATTTGTGTCATCATACTACAATACTCCAAACTCTTTTCAAAAATGCATTTGTGTCATCATACTACAATACTCCAAACTCTTTTCAAAAATGCATTTGTGTCATCATACTACAATACTCCAAACTCTTTTCAAAAATGCATTTGTGTCATCATACTACAATACTCCAAACTCTTTTCAAAAATGCATTTGTGTCATCATACTACAATACTCCAAACTCTTTTCAAAAATGCATTTGTGTCATCATACTACAATACTCCAAACTCTTTTCAAAAATCTAATTATAAAATTCATATAAAAATAAATACAACTAGATTGCTTCGATGGGGATGTAACAAGGTAATTTCAATTTGAAAGTGTTTTGATATATATATAAATTTTCTTTTGCTAATATACTAACTTTTTTTTATTTTCATAAATTAGTAGATTGTCGTGCATGCTCCTCACTGGGAATACATACAAGTTGATACGAGGACTTTTTGGAAAGTGATAAGGCGCTCCTAGGATTTCTAAAAAAGAACAAGTTTGAATCTCATATTTATTTTTGTGAAAAGCGTACATATGCTAGCTACGATCCATATTTTGTAAAGTTTCCGATCGATGTAAAATTTATAATTAAGTTTAGATGTATGTTAGATAATATTCATTTGAATTATTGATTTATGCTATGAGTTTGTTTTTGTAATTGTAACACACTATGTGATATATATATTTTTGTTTTTTTGTTTTTTCTTCCTAATATGCTCTTGAATTAGGTCAAACAAAAAGAATCATATTTTTATTTGGTTATCTTTTTATCAGGAAGGGTGTTGCATTTTCTTTGTATTACAGAACATTGCCTGGTGTGCTTAATTTGTTATTTGGCATTTTTTTTGTATTGCAGAGCACTGGTTGGTATGCTTAATTTGTTATTTGGCATTTTTTTTTGTATTGTAGAGCATTGACTGGTGTGCTTAATTTGTTATTTATTTTTTTCTATTGCATAGCATTGGCTAGCGTATTTCGTTTGATTTTTATATAGATGTTTCTGTGTTGTGGGATTTACATTTTGTTGTTTGTTTAAAATCTTATGCTTTTGTTGTGCTTGAATGTTACGTAGCATTTATGTGTTTACTTTTCACTATTTCGTTTACCTATAAATTTGAAAAATTTATGTTCAAATTGATTTATTCACCAAGTAGCATACAATTTATTTATTTTTCATTTATTTAATTTTCTGCACAATAAACTGACCACCAAACCATCAAAATTGGTAGATTTTAACCATTACATTAAAATTGATGCAAAACTATAGCTTTGAGATCTCTCTTCTTTACTTCAACCAAAACTCACTATCTAAAAAAATGCAGATATAGAAATTTATTTGGGTACTGTTATTGGCTAGGATAATAAAATGCTTATTTTCTATTATAAATTGCAAGTGGGTTACATAAAAAAAAATACTACTATAGTAAATATTTGATGATATGATCTTTGTTTGCATTTGTGTCATCATACTACAATACTCCAAACTCTTTTAAAAAATCTAATTATAAAATTCATTTGAAAATTCAAAACCATACGGATCATCTATTTATATTTTCACCTCAAATTTTTTTTCCCAACAAATTAAATAAATTATATTTTAACCCAATAATTTTATATTCAATTACATTTTCATATATTAGTGGTCACTGTGCCTTCAGGCACGGGTATACCATAGTATAATATATGTATGGGCTTATCAAGAGCTGTAAACAGCTTATTTTCACATGGTTGGCAGAAGATTTTTCAACAAGGGAAACTGAGAGAATCAAAATCAAAGTGGAAAGGTAAGCGCATAAAGGAAACTAAATATTGAATAGGCCAAATTCAACTATTATATGTATATATATAGCAACATTCATGAAGCCCCTACCTTCTCTTTATGTACTTATTAATGAAATGAAACTAAGACATTGTTGGTTTAGTGGAATAAAGATAAAATAAAATGATTATTTTATCAGAATATTGATTCTCACATTTACTTCACTAAAAAAATGATGAAAAATGTAAAATTATCATTTACTATTATTAAAAAAATGATCATCATGTTATGAGGAGATTAATAAAGAACTGTTCTATTTCTTTCCTTATTCTAATAAACCAAATACCCTTTAAGAATCGTCATTCATGATGTGAGATTATTTCAACAATTGATGAGTCTTGTGCATGTCTTCGTTTACTAGTTCCTTCAACTTATTACTAGTAACAGTCACAAAGGAAAATTGAAGAAATAACATATACAAAATTTTGAAAAAGTTGATTGAAATTCAATGTAGTTGGTAACAACAAAACAAGAATTGTCATGGTATTGAGTAACAAGCTAACATTTATTTTAAAAAACAAAATAAAATTTAGAGTAACAAGCTAACACCGAACAACATTAATTTATTATTATGACAGAAAGGACATTGAGCATATTGGGATAATATCAAATTCTTATTATTTTAGTTTTAGAGGAGGATGTCACTATAATATATAAGGGTTTTAGAGATTAAATTTTTTGATCTTTAAAAGTAAAATTTTTGCTACAAAAAATATTTAAGGACTAATTTCTATCGTCGTAAAGATAGTCGTTAAAAGGTCGTCTCGAAAAGTCAAAAATAAGATTTTTAGTGACAATTTTGAAAATATCACTAATAAATATACAAAATAATTTGGTCTCAAAATGATTTGTTTTTTGAGATAAAAAATTTGGTCTCAAAAAAATAATAATTTATTACTAATGTCCAATTTTCGTTGTTAAAAATATAATAATGACACTTTCGCAACAAAAATATTTGGTTCTTAAAAAATAATTTTGTTCCAAAATTTTAGTCTCTAAAACCTTAACCTTAATTTTTTGTAGTGTGCACGGCCATATTGAGCACTCGTTTGGGATGGGGTTATAGAGTTAAAATAGTTACAAAAAGATAAAATAAACTAAAAAGTTAATAAGATAAAATGTCACATCCAAACTATAATCATTTTATTTTTTTTTTCATAAAAATCAAAAAAATCAAAAGTCTATCTCAAATAAGACTTTTAATTCCAGACTAAAATAGTCAAAAAATCAATCCATATCACAGACCAACCCTGATAGTTAGCAGCTTAAACAATAGTACAAAACCATAATTCTCATATTTCACCTACGAATCTTTTGTCTGTACATGCTATATCTAAGAAATTACAAGACCACCAATTTTTTTGCACACTTGATATTCATATAAGAAATGAAAAAATAAAAAATAAAACAAAATAAAATTCCTCTAGTGCTATACAATTATCGTTACAAAACTATACAGATGACAGATGCTTAAGGCATTAGACACGTCCACATGGTTTTAGGTTGGGAAAGACCTTTTCTTTGTTTCATGAATTTGTAAAAAATATATATATACATATTAAAAAAAAAAAAAACTACAAAAAATGATAAAATTCTTCTAGTGGGTGGTATATAACTGGCAACTAGATTCACAATACCACACAGATGGCCACTCGAATCTCTTCTGTTTCATCGATTTTGTCCAAATCCTCCTTTTCTTCCAAAAAAAGGAAAGAGAAGGATCTTCTTAAGTGGATCCCTCTTGTTGTTTAAGACATTAATCACGCCACATTGTTTTACGTTTGATGAAAAATCCTATTTTCACATATATCATGATTTTATAGACAAAAGTGTAATTCTAAGTATGAACAAATATTGGTTTTGCTTATATCTACAGTTTGCTTCAATCATTTGCAGTGAAGCAATAAAATATTTGCTTGAACAAGTGTGGATTTTTGGTTTGGATTTTACTAATGTGGGGTTAAAAGAACTATTAATTGGAAAAGTGTCATCCCAAAAGATAAAAAAAAAAGTGTTTAATGTGGCACTTTACATGCAACTGGAGCTATCTCAAAAGTTGTTTTCCCATTTCATAAAGGCATTTACTTTGTTGTACCTATATTTGTTCATAAATTTTGTGTCACATCCATTCATTTATATGATCTTTATACACATAAATTGATAAATAAAGTCTTAATATTCAAATGTGATAAACATAGCATAATAGGCCATTTCATCATTAAATACATTAACATTATTATTTGTGAACAATTCAGTTCAAATATAATCCTATTATTTGAATATGAACACTAGTAAACTCTAGTAAAAGTAAAAATAAATCACATTTAAATGTATAAAAAAATAAATAAAAAGAAAGCCAAACTAGCCAACCTATTTGATTATTCACAACATATGCAATATTTTCATCATTTTCAAACAAGATTACATGGATCATCAAGCCTCTGTTTGGAAAGATGAGTTGGGTTGGGAATTATTTTAGTCACAAAAAGATAAAATAATTTTTTTTAGTCTAATAAGACAAAATATCATTATTACATTATTTCTCTCACAAAAAGTCAAAAAAATCAAAAAGTCCTTTCCAAATGAGATTTTTTAACCCCAGATTAAAATAGTGAAAAAGTCAATCCACTTTCCAAACGAATCCTAAATTGAATGTAAAAAAATTGAATTTCCCCACCACAAATTGAAAAAAATAAAAATAAATTGTGAATTTGAAGATTTGACGTAAAGAAAACATGGGATATTCAAGCAAATTTAAGGGGGGAAAAGCAACACTTTTTTAAGATGTTAGCTTTTATTTGAATAATGCTTGGGATCTCCTTTTGGGGGTCACCCCTTCACCCCCTTTTGTCACGTGGCAGGTGGTGATTGGAGGAGCAGGAAAAAAAAGAAAAAGAAAAAGAAAATGTAACCAATGAAAGAGAGAGGGGGTCAAAGGAGGGATGAATCATTGTTGCTTTTATTTACACCATATTTTTAGCAAATTATACTCGTCAAATGTTTTTTTATTATTATAAAAATCATAATTAAATTCCCATCAAAATTACAATTAACAATAAAATATATTTTAATAAAAAAAAGTTTACACACCCCCTCCCCACCAATCACCACCACCCCTCTCCCTACCCTGCCACCGCCCATTCTACCGATCCTCCAATCACCGCCATCCCTCACGAGTCTATCACTCTTTTCTCACTTCTGCAATTCTCTACACCATCTCAACCATTACAACATGAAGAAAAAGAATATAACAAAAAGAACAATCACTAACGAAAAAATAAAAAAATGCTTAACCATGTACTTGTGCAACACTATATTTAAGATTTGGGTATTTAAGAATTTTTTGAATGTAATTTTCTATGATTTTGATAGGTACTATTTGAAATACTCAACTCAAAGCTTCGTTTGATGCTGATTTATCCAACAAAAAAAAAAAAGAAAAGGTTTTTAGTTCTTGTTCGCTAAATCTTGAGATTGTTCAAATAATTCAAATCAAACACAACAAATTTGACCAAAAAAACATCTTTTTTAAAAAAACTTTAAAATTTCATAAACCTTCATGTCCAAATGTTAGGCCAAAATCGTTCACTGAGATTTTTAAAAAGAACCAGCGAGTGACTTGACATGAACTCCATTAAAGATAGTATCACCGTAAACAAAACAGAATTCGAAACTCTTTTCTTTCTCTTGCTTTCTCGGGAACCAAACAGGATAATATCATATCAATTGAACAAATAACACAAAATTAAGGGAGAAAAAAAGTATACTTCATTGATATTTCAGTGCGCCATATTAAAACACTTTTTCACAAAAACCTAATTAGACTCCTTCCTTCACTTTGATATTTGATTATGGAGTGTATGTACAAGAGTTAAAACGATCCAATTGTTGTACGACTAAGATCTGCTCTGTTCCAATCTCACTGTCTCACAGTCACAAAAAAAAAAAAAAGAAAAAAGAAAAAAAAAAAGAAGAAAGAAAGAAAGGGCCTAAAGAAACTCATCGGACAAAGAGTTGAGAAGATCTTGAACTGAATTGTCGCCGACACGCAAAGCTTCAAGTACGCGTTCGAAGACGAGTACATTGCAGGGGATTCGAAGGACGCCTTTTTGCTCGTATCCGTACTCTTGAGCCGATTTATTGAGAAGCTTGATGAAGATCGGGTGGTTTAGGAGATCTGCACTCACAATGAATCGTTCCATCCCATCGCCGACGAACACCGGTACGTGTCCCTCCGGTACGGTGGCGGATCGGACTCCGGACCGGAGAATTGAAGGGGAACGGAAACGGAAAGCGTCAAACGCGCCGGAACGAGATGGCGTCTTCGATTCGGATCGGAGAAGGCAGTACTGCGACGAGTCCGCCACACGCGACAGGCGCCGGATCAGCTTCTTCATCGGTTTTCTGGAGAGAGAATGAGAGAATGTGCTCTGGAGAGAGAATGAGAGAATGTGCTCTAGAGAGAGACTGATGTGAGAGAGTTTTGAGAGAGAGAATTGGGAATGGAGGTTGGGGAGGGAGGAGAGGGGAGATATATAGAAGGCGTTGGAGATGGTTAAGAGGTACAGACAGGTACGCGTACTTGGCAGGTACAATTGTTAATCCTAATTATAATCGAATTTATTGTTTTATTTATTTTAGGATTCTTTTCATAGAAGAATTATGGATAAATAAATACATCCTTGAAATTTGCTTAAAATATAATTTGTTTTATGTAGTTTGTAAAATTATAAATATCTTCTTGTCAGAATTTTTTATTTAACAAAATTAGCTGAAAAATTAAAATTTTTAAGTATTTACCTATACAATAGTAAAATTATATGAATTATTAATTGAAATAAAATTTTAACATTATTAAAAATTATTAATTAACTTGATGATTTACTAATAAAATGACCTATTTATTATGAAATTATAAATTTTAAAAGATATAATGTAATTTTTAGAACTACAGTAAATAATTTGTAATTTAAATAAATCTTAAAAATATATTTGTAATTTACTCAAAAATTATTGGTTAGTTTCATGACGTCACGTGGTTATATTTTATACCACTCATAATTTATCATATTTTTTAATTATTTAACACAAATTTATAGGGAATGTTTTGAAAAAATAATTAAAAATTAATTTTTGAAATAATTTTTAACTCACTTCCTAAAACACCCCTAAATTTCATACCTTCGTCAATTATAAGCGTATTGAAGCACATGTAGCGGTACCTAAAACGATTCAATAACTTCTCCTTTTTATATAACTAGTGGGTGGCAGACACACGATGTTTGTGCAATTTAAATAAGTAGCAATAAAAAAAATAATAATGAAGTTCATATTATAATGTGTACTTAGCTTAAGTGGTATGAATCGTCGTACTTAAACTCATGGTCATGGGTTCAAGCCTTGCCCATCTCTTTGTTTAACTTTTTTTAACTTTTTTTTAAAAAATAAAAAATACTGCCACATGGCATGAGGAGAGTGAAGCTTCAGGACACCATATTATGTATTCACTTTATAATAGTATAGATAGATAGATAGATAGATAGATAGATTATCCTACTTAAATCAGGAGAAGACACCCATCTCTATCTCTACACAAAAACACTTAGGGCTGGTTTGGGATGTCTTAAAAAAGTGTATTTTTTGTCTTTTTAGATTAAAAAAGACAAAAAAAAAAATATGGAGATTTGGGTTAACTTTTTGACTTTTTATGAAAAAATGTGTATTAAAAAATTGTATAAAAAAAAATGTGTAAGAGATGATAAGAGAGGAGTGGGCCCCAGCCGTACAACCGGCTGTGTAATTTGAGTTGGAAATTATTGGCTAATTTTTGTACAAAGCACTGGACGGTTTTGTTTGACCCGTGGGGGTCATCACGGGTCCCATTTTAATAATCTGAACCTTTCAATGTGTGTAACTCGTCGAACACTAAGTACCTATAAAAAATCACGTTAATCGGATATCGATAGCTATCTGATCAGATTTATTTATTTTTCAATCATTAATTATAACACCATCCATTTGTTGTATATAACTGATTTGATCATATAGTTATCGATATCCGATCAATGTGATTTTTTACAGACATATAGTACTCGACAATTTCTACACATTGAACGGTTCAGATTATCAAAACGGGACCCGTAATGACCCCATGGGACGAACAACGGTGTGTGTAAAATTCACACTGAATCATTTCATTTTTGCTGCACAGCCGTTGCTTTACATCAATTCAAATTGTACTTTTTGAGAAGAAAATTGATTTTTTAAATTTTTTTTTTTTGTGAATAGCGATATCTTTTTGAATTTTAGAATAACTTTTTGACTTATATAGTATAAGTCAATTCAGGCCTTAAATTTGAGAGAGAGAGAGAGGAAAGGAGGAGAGATAGAGATAGAGTCCCATTCCGACTGTAACTTTCCATAAATAACTTATATTTTGTATACATCGATTACTTTTGAAATCATCTAAAATCATAAAACTAGACCACAATCAAATTTAGGCTTTAGTTTGGGGACTTAAATTTATAGTTAAAAAATTATCATAAATTATCATATCATTTTTTTAAAAATTTTTTTAGTACATTTTTTTTATTAAAAAGAAAAATAAAACAATCAATTTTGAAATGAAATGTCTCAAAATTTTTAAAACCACCGAGATTGATTCAATTTTTAATTCATTTAAAAATTAAACCATATCAAATCATCTACACCATTATGGGTAAAATATTTGTTAAGAAATCTAGTCCCATTAACACCTTCGAAATTTATTATAGCATTGTAGAGTTAATTGATACTACTATATTCTAAAAGACTTGCGAAAAAAAATTATTTATGTTTTTAGATAAAACAAATTTCATTGATTCGTAATTTTTTTTTTTTTTTGGTATTGAAAAAAAAGGGTCACGTAGGCTCCGCGAGTCCCTAGTCCTGCGTTAAGACATTACTTATGACAACGTGTAAGGGTGCCACGTTGAGGAGCAATGGAGGATCGAACCCAGGTAAAAGCGTCTTTAGGCTGCCATAGAACCCATCCCTCAGGAGCTATTGATTCGTACAAATTGAATCCCCGGCAAATGTGAAAACGAAATTTAGAAAACTTTAGTCACTTAATTGTGATTACTATTTTAACTTAAAAATTAGACTTATTTTTTAAATTCAATGATATGACTAACTTATATATCACTAGATTTAAAAAATAGATTTATATATCATTTTTCATTGTAAAATTAGATATACTTTTTCATATAAAATCGATATCTTCTATAACTCAATCTCTCATGTGTCCTTATCTCAAATTTTTTTCCTAGCACAGCACCGTGTTATAAAAGATTGACCTCATTTGGATAAAGCGATAAGAAGAGTGGGTTTAGAGTATTTATTTTGTTGCTTTTACCAGCATAGATTACAATAATGGAAAGAGGTTGATAAAATTCACATAAGTATTTGATTGCACTGATAAAGAGAAGATTATACATTAATCACAAAATATGAAAACTTGTCGAGGGCAATATAAAAGTTTATATATATTTTTTTCTTTTTGTGTAAGAAGATTAAGAGGAATGTTTAAAATCCTTGTTTATTTGTGATTTTAATAAATTTAAATGGCTTTCGTAATTTATTGAAAATAAGGCCTTGTTTAGGAATATGCTTTTTTAGTAATTTTTTGACTTTTTAGCTAAAATATGATGTAAAAAAAATTAATATGTTTGGGATGACTTTTTAATTTTTTTACGAAAAGATGTGCAAAAAGTGGAGAGAAAGGAAATTTTTGATTTTTTGATATAAGTTGTTGGATTTTTAATTTTTTTAGTGACTTTTTGGCTAAAATCACCACTTGCCAAACGAGACCTAAATATTGTTAAGAGTGAGTTTTTTTGTTTTTATTAAATTTGTGTAAATTCTTGATTCCAATAAAAAAAAATCTCAAGTCATTTATGTTTAAAGATAACTCGAGTGTGGTACAATTGTCATGACAATAAACTTAATTCCTAAAATAATGTTTTTTTTAAAAAAAAAAAAAATCATTATAGATAGGAATTTAACAACTAAAATTCAACACAATGGGTTGGCATTTTGAAATATGATAATCAATATTCATTTTAATTGATATCAATAATAAAGTTCAAACTATAACATCTTCTTAGAAGTTAGTATTTAAGAAGACTAGTCAGTCAATTATGCGATGAAGTTGACCTCACGATACTTCTCAGAAGCTGGCCTTCTAATTGATTCACAATATAATGGCAAACAAAAATTATACAAGTACAGTATGGCGTACCAAAAATATGAAAAATAAAAAATTGATTAAAAATAAACAAGAAACGAACCAAATGCATGATCAAACAACCTAAATTGGACAAAAATATATATTATGTGCTGAAAAAGGGAATGCTGATCTTTGAATGTCTAGTTTTATTTTATTAGATTAAATTTTGAGATAATAAATTCATGTGTAATGGTTACATTTGGGACATATTACATGTCACCAATTGCTTTGCAAAAAGCAACAATCAACAATTTTAATTACTAATTTGGACAAGGTAGCAAAAGCAAACCAATATGTCTCATAGTTTTAATTTTTTATTACATAATTAATTAAAAACATTATAAAAGTAATATCACATGATGCTACATAATTGTATGCTTTGTTTTCTAGTGTAAAATGTCTAGTGTCAGTATGGCTCATTAGTGTATATAGCTCAATGTGAAGGGAAATTTTATGAAGTGGTCAGGAACACCACCTTCGGATTATGTGGAACAACATTCATTGATGAGAAAAGGCAAATCATTTATGCCAAAACTCAATCATAAGGCTTGGTTTAGTATCTCTAAAAAAAGTCAAAAAGTTACTATTATATTTAAGTTACATCATTCTATTTAAGTCATATCACCTCTCTACTACATCACTTCAAACTCAACTCAATTTTATGAAAAGCAAAAAAGTTCACTTATTTAGATCATCCCAAACCTCAATTTTATGAAAAGCAAAAAAGTTCACTTATTTAGATCATCCCAAACCACCCCTAAATATATGATTTGATTATATTTATTTTCAAAGTATATAAAAACAATTTTAAAAATTATATTATCGTCTAATTTTTAATAATAAATGTGAGCTTAACAAAGTTACCATATTTCAATTAATTTGATTTTTATTTTTATTTTATGAATAATTTACTTGAAAAGTTTTATAATATAAACCATTTAAATTATAAAGTGTCCCATAACAGGCATAGAGAAGTCCGACATTATGGAGAGGATCTCATCCCAATAAATAAAGAGAAAAAAATGTTAATCATATATAATTTTTTTTAAAAAAAGTATCACAACAATGATGCGATAATATAATTTTAGTAAATAAATATTTTTATGAATGTTTTCTTTTAAAATATATGATCTAAATTAAATCACATCATAATTTTTGGGAGAAATAATTGTACAGTGTATGCCAAAATTAATTATAAAAAAGTAAAAAAAAATTATAAA